CTCTAACAACAAACCACTTGCTAATGATGACAGAGTGTAATGAAAACCAGCCAGTCTCTTGGTTTCATTTAATGCACCAAAAAGGAGACAGTTTGTGAAACTAATAGTTAGTTACATAGGGTTACCATACATCCTGGTTTTCCCAGACATGTCCTCTTTTTGCATCCTCCCATCTCCATCTGGGTGGTTTTTTACAATATCCACAAATGTCCAGGATTTTGCTCTGCTCAGCTTTCACAGCGTTTGCCAGTTTGCCCCAGCAAGGAGCTGCTTGGGGCTGGGGAGAATGGGGGAAGACAACTGGAGACCAGGGCATCGCATGCCTCTGCATGTGCTCCAGCAAGTAAGTAACTGTGTGTCTATGTGTGGATTGGCATGCGAGGGGGGTGGGTGCAAAGGGTCGGAGGGTTCTTTGAGGGCAGCAGGGAGCTGTGTGGGCAGCAGGGCTGGGAAGGGCAGGGGGCTGCAGGTCAGGAGTGAGGGGTACTGGCAGAGTGGGGACTGGGCAGGAGCTGTGAGTCAGGAGTGAGGGGCAGTGACAGGGCTGGGAGGGCTGTGGCTTGGGAGTGATGGGCATCAGGGGGATGGGGGGCTGTGGTCAGGAGCGTGGGACACAGGCAGGGCCAGGGGGCTGCAGGTCCAGAGTGAGATGTATCAGCAGGGACAGGGAGGCTGTGGGTTGAGAGTAAGGGGCAGCAGCACGGCTGGGGGTGCTGTGACTTGGGAGTGAGGGGTAGGGGCAAGGCAGGGCATGGGTATATCACTGCGTCCCCACAGTCATATACCTCCCTCCCCCGCACAGGCGTCTTCTTTTTCGAAACTGGAAATATGGTAACCCTAGTTAATGTAAACTGAAATGAAATTCTACTTCACGTAGCACATAGTCAGCCCAGGGAATTCACTGCCAGAGCTTTACAAATACTATTTTTGGCTCGTTTCACAACTACTAATGCCTCAATAGTTTGTCTGCTCAGACTGCCACCGTGGATCAGTCCATTTCATCATGAAGTATGTCGCCCAGCCTTACATAGTTTCTATTGCAGGGGTGGGCAAAATACAGCCCGCAGGCCGTATTTGGCCCACCAACCGATTTTTTTCCTGCCCACTGGCCACTGCCAAGAGCCTGAGGAGGGAGGGCTGCGCCCCATGCTGCTCCATTCTGCCACAGCTGGGGCTGGGCTGGGTCACACAGCGCACAGACACCTCTGTCCCTCCTGCATCCATCCTCTCCTCTCCCCCACACTTCCCCAGCTTCCTGTTGGTGCTGCAGCTGCACAGTCCTGACACCACAGCTGCCGGCAGCTGGGCCTGCTTGGGACAGGATGCGATGCAGCATGCCAAGCAGACGTCCTGCCCACCTGCTGCGATGAGTTGCTGCTGCTGCAGTGCCACTAGGAGGTGAGTCTGTGGCAACCACAGGAGGAAGGGGGGGGGGGGGGGCGGACTTGGACTGGGGCAGCCACCCCCGACTTTTCCAGTGTGGCGTAGCAGCAATGGCTCATTGTGGCGGGTGGGCAGGATGGCTAGTCAGCATGCTGCATTGAGCCTTGTCCCGTGTGGGCTTAGCTTTTGGTGGCAGTGATGCCAGGACTGTGCAGTGCCAACAGGAAGCTGGGCGATGGGGGAAGGGAGGAGATGCCTGTGCACTGTGCAGCCTGGCCCCAGCTGCAGTGGAGTGGTGTTGTGTGGGCTACAGCCCTCCCTCTTTAGGCTCTCTGCAGGCTGGATAGGATCAATTGGAATCTCCCTGCCCGTTTCCACCCTTCATCCCACCCTCAACTCACCAAAACTCATTAAGTGGCCCTCCAGCCCAAATAACTGCAATCAGTATACTACTACCTTCTTTTAGAAGATAGCTAATCTTATGCCTCTTGGGAGACTGAAGTGGGAAACAGGAGTCAACTCCTTTGTAGGGCAGGATAGAGGACACAGACAAGCTCAACACAGCTGTTCAAAATCTGCATGCCCCAGGAAAATAAATTATTTGGATGTGCTGAGATGCAAAGTAAGAGAAAAATCTAACTAATCCTAACTTAGATTATTTAGAGAAAAGAGAGTGAATTTATGGTCTAATTTCAGTAGAAATATTCAGTAAAAATCAGTATTCATTAAGGAGATAGCCTGCCATATTTCCAGTTCCCCAAATGAAATGGTTATGGTGCTGCAATGTGACACTTAATCAAACTAGTGCATAATAAACTTTTCATTAGCTCCTCTATATTTGTTAATGGAATGATGTGTCAGTAAAACACCAGTCATTTTCTTTTAGGATGATCTGCAACATGTGTTTATCTACCTAAGCCAACAACATTAATAGAAATGCGAATGAGTGAACCTATATAATATGCAGCTGTTGACAGATTATAGTGCTGAGGAATGCCAAGGCATTTGCTCACATTTAACATCTGAAGTAGGAGATTGTTACTGATTTAGAGTTGTATTCGATTAATGCCTTGGCTGGGGTGCCCAACATAAGACAGAATTTGGTAGGGGGAGGGTTTGTTCATTTTTGTTTTTTAAATCTTGTCTTCTTTCAGAGTGGAAATAGAAGACGGCAGCTGCCTATAATCTGGTCAGCTATTTTAGCAGCTTTAAAAGCTTCATTTTTTTGGAAAGTAAGGGGTTTAAAAGCAGGAACTGCTTTTCATCTCAAACCCTGCTGTGGTCAATGACAAAATTTCCATTGATTTTAACAAAGCCAGGATTTCATTCCAAGACTTCAAAGCTTTTAGAACCATTTCCAAGCCACACTCCTTTCTTGGAAGAGAGCCAAGAAGTAGTGACTTCCATTCTGGTGGGATGTTGTAGAACACCAAAAAGAATTACCAAAACTGTATATTTTCTGCATTTCTATTAAATAACTCCTGGTTTCCTACACAAACTATTGTCCATACTCCTCACACGGTGTCTTGTTAACATTTAAAAAAGCGATCAGAAAATTGAAGTCAGAGCAGTAGACTGACCGCGTGCAATCAAGTCCATTTAGAACAGGAATACTGTATGATGAACACCAATCCAAACCCTATGATTTCTACAAAAGGCTCTGATAATCAGAAAAGTGATGGCTTCTGATGGACTGCCCACCTTAGTTTTGCTTAATAAGCATTGTTGGTAAGGAAGACATGTTAAGCCAACTACATACCAGCACTATAGCACACTCCTTTGTATTTAACAATGTTCTCATGCTGCAGGGATTTAAGGATTTCAATTTCCCTTTCAAAGTCTCGCAGGTGCTCTTCAGTGCTGTGCTGTAGCTTTTTCACAGCCACCACCTCTCCAGTGTTGTCTTGGAGTGGGTCATACCGGCACATCTCAACACTGCCAAAATTACCCTGGACAATAAAAGAAATATTTTAACTAAAAAAATCCCACAGTGCATCAGCTTTCCCATCCTCTGTAGGTACCTACATCAGGCTGAAGCAGGGTAAGATTTACAACCACAACATCTAACAGTGTGGGAAAGAGTGAGTGATATTACAAGGGATTGTTTTGGTGAAGGTCAAGGACATAGTCAGGTGAGGGGTTGGAAAACAGATGGTCAGACAGGAAGGAAAAAAAGCACACGAATTGCAAGGGTGAGAGAAAGAGACAGATACAGAGAGAGATAAGCTACTTTGCCAAATGATTCTTTCCCATAAGAAAAGGAACAGGACAGGGTAGGAAAAGATTAAAAAGGTCACTTTCTTCTCTGTGGCCTCTTGGTAATTTTCTCCTCTTCCTACCTTGTTACTGTATTTTTTTACTTTGTATCAATAGACCAAGCCTCTTGTTTTTTTCTTTTTAAATCTCTCCTGCTCACAGTCCTCCTTGTTTTTTGGTCGTCTTTGTGTCTCATCTCTCTAATCTGTTCTCCTCCTGCTGACAGTATACATTTTCTTTGCTTGTCTCCTTGTTGCCTACCACTGTCTTCTCCTTTCCCCTTCTCTCACACTAATTCTTCACAGAACTATCCCTGCCTCACTCGTTTACTCTACCTTTCTCTTCCTAGAAACAGACTCTTTCGCCAGAATTTCTCTGCAAGCCATCTGCAAATGCATCTGCAAATGCTGGCAATGTTGGTGAAGTAAGTTTGCAATGTGGCTGCAGTGTGTCATTTATACTATGCTTGGATTCATAAGTCTCTGATTCTATGTGGTCAGCAAGTCAATTGGTGACAAAAATAACGAGGAATGGTCCTTAAAAAGCAAGTGCATTTAGTTGGACTTTTGGCAGTTATACCACATCATTTAGCTAACAGTGCTTTCAGGCAGGCAGTCTGCAGGAATTTGCTACATGTTTAGCCCAACATAGGTTCCACAAACTTCCAGGGCCTGCTATTGATAAAGACATGGTTGTATATAAAAAACACATGCACAAGGCTGCCTTATTCAAAATCTATTTAGATACAAAAACATATTTAAGAGAGCTAATTAAAAATTAAAAATTAATCCTAACTATAAAAAATAAAAACAAATACAAAAAAGATCTCTCTCGGTATTTACAACACATTTATGAAATTTAAGTCCTCAGGACCACTATGGCAGGTGTAAATCAGGGCTCCATTCCAGAACTCTACTCTGATCTGTTCAATGACACCATATCCAGTGTTTGACCAACAATTAAGGAAGGAATGTGGTCATTATGCTTGTGCCTGACTTGAACTGCAATTACACAACCTGTTTCAATAGCAAAGATTCAAAGAAAATGTATGACAGGTCAGCAGGGGAAAAATGAAAAGTGATTTCCTTCCAGCCAATTAAAGAAGTTCAAAACTTCCTACCTTGCCAAGTTGTTGTAAGAACTTAAGGTGTCTTTCTTCAAATTGTGTTGGGTCACGGTCTTGAAAAGCCTCAGAGAATCCAAGAGCACCAATTCTCATGTTTGGCAACATGTCACTTTCTGTCAGTAGCTCATAATCTAGGCAAAAAGCCCCAAGAGAATGATGAAAGGGCAACCACTATTACAATGTTATTATTCTTCCCATCTCCAGGCCTACTCTGAATACTGTAAAATGTCAGAAGTTTCTTTAATGCTCAGTTTCCATGTGCTACTTTGGTGCATAAACAATGGGATATTAAATCAGGAAATCAGAGTGACACTCTGGATTGTGCTGATCTCCAAAATTGACTTCTCTCAACAAATGACTGAGGACAAGCCTTGATTAAGTACTTCCCTTTATGTGTTTTTGCAGAATAATCCTTGCTCTTTTAAAACAGCTTTTGCCACAGAGGGAAAAATTCAAAATCTAGAAAGGTATAACCAAATCTAGGATTAAATCTGGGGGGAAAGCAGAAAGTTTTATATTATTTATCCCATTATTGGGAGAAAGTACAAAGACAACTGGTATAATGTACTTCACTAAGACGGCAGGACTACAGTAAAACATCACTGCCTTTATTATTTATAGCATGGGAATGCTCTCAGGCCCAGTCAGACACCAAGATTTAGTATAGCGCTGAGCAGACATTATAGGACCACATAACAAAAAAGACCGTTGTTGCTGATGTAGTCCATTCCCTTTCCTTCACAAGCTTACCTGGAGTAAACAAACTGTTAAGATCTCGTATTATGGCCCTGAATGAAGGCCTGAAGTCTGGCTCATAATCCATACAGTTGTTTATAAGATTTGCGAGTTCTGTCCAGTTTGGTGCAGGAAGCTGGTGCCTATCTTCATAAAACTGAAGTTTCTAGGATAAAAGAAATAAAAGATGTCTTAGCATTTAACACCTTCCTCTTTATAACAAATGTAATGTATATGGCAGAGCAGGCATTTCTGGGTTAAAAGAATGACGTCTTTCCATTGCACAGGTAATTTTATGAAGTCTGTTTGGGATGGAGCCATTAAAAAAGCTTTGTCTACTTCCTCTAGTTATAAACACCTCCTCCTGGTTAAGGGAGAGTGTGAGTGAGTCGGAGGAGGCTTGTTTCTTAGAACCCTTCCTCTATCCCAAGGCTCTTCTGGGAACCTGTTACATTATGAGCTGGCTAATTGAACTAGAGGAAGACTGCATAGCAACAAAGATGAGATCAGGCTCTTTGTGAAGGGAACATGTAAAATTGTTAAAAGCATCTAAAAGGGCTGGGTTTGTATTTAAGAGACTCTCATGTCAGCCTCCAAAGGAGGGGTGTGAGGTGGATTAAATGTCTCTGCATATACACACACACATTTTTTTGGAAGAAAAGATCACGGGACAATTTTAATGCCGTGTTCTATTTTTGTGATACAGGTAGAAGTCCTCCTGCAAAGCACAATTTGGACCTTGGAGTACCTGAAAGACCTCAAACTTGACAGCATTAAAACACTCAATTTAAGGGAGATCAGAATATATAATAAGCAAAGACCAAACTGAGACTTAGGAATGTTTTGCTGATGTAGAAGTCCTGGCATACTCCTTGGCAAAGGGCACCCACACTGGATTCAGCTATACCAGCAAAGCTGCCCTTGTTTGGCAGTGCTGAAATACCACCATTCCCAAAAGCAACAGATGCAATGCCAGTAAGGGTGTAGGTTTGCCAATATAACTGTACCTACACTAGGGGCTACTGTGTTACAACTACAGTGGTCACAGATTACATCACTTCTTGTCCAACATGTACCTATGCTGGCAGAAGTCAGTTGATCTGGCCAAGGAAATATGATGGTCACAAATACAGTAACAATAAATTAGTCCCCTGTGTCAATACTTACTCTTGGGGAATCTAGTGCACCAAGAGGCTTGTCTCCCCCACTGCAGATTTCCCACAAAGTGGTACCAAAACTCCACTTGTCTGTTGCCAGGCTTAGCTGTTTGGGATTCTCAATGCATTCTGGTGGAACCCAAGGTATTCTTTCGAGAAGAACTGTGTAATCATGGATACACAACAGTGTCAGGAATAATGATGTGGTGCCTACTTTCAGCTGCAAGTTATTTAAAAAAATTACACTGGACTTAGCAAAATGTCTATTTTTGCAATAAAATACTTCAGGTAGCCTCAAATGGGAAGTTCAAAATGGCAGCACCTGTTACATTCTAATTATTACCCATGGACAAGCCAGGAACAGTATAAATGTAGCAAAACAGCTCCAACATTAACAATGAATGAAGCAGTGTTAAAAGTTGGGAGTGGTTTTCTTACATTTATCTCATTCCCTGCTTGTCCAATCAGAATGTATCTGCTGCCATTCTTTTGACATGCACCCCTTTTACAATGGCTCCAAAAGCATGTGTGTGCTCGGATAGTTTTGTTATTCTGAACAACAGCAGGACATGTGCCATATGACAGCATGGACAAAGCCCATCACTTGGTGAAAGTGTTTCACTTAAAACATACACTAATCTTTGTTAAAGTATCAGTGTTTCCAATGCACCACCTTAAATTGTTTGTTTCTCTCATGGATTATTTTAAAAAAACATTTGCACACATAAAAACAACACAACACATTTTTTATTATTTTGTTTTTGGTAGCCATTTGTTCACACAGAGGATACAGTTGTAACCACTGTCTATCAGGGTGGTTAGGGACTCTGAAGAAAAGATGGAGGAGCTTAATTTAATAAAATAGAGAGGAGAAAGGAACAACAATACTAATATTTTTTTCAATGCTACAAACAATAGCCAAGAAAGCTGACTCAAAGACTTACTGTCTTTTGGCAAAACCGTAATGCTGATGCCAGGATCACTAAGTTTAATAAATGGGAGATTTCCAGATTTCCTATCTTCCTCTCTGATAAGCAAGATATTTTTTGCACATACATTCCCATGAACCAGGCCTTTATCTTCCTGATAAAGACAAACACATTTTTATGTATACAAACATGCATAAGTACCACTTAAAGAGACATTTTACACCAGCTTATACTGTAAAACCATAAAAACATCAAGGAAAAGGTTTAGCTAATAAATTTCACCTTACAGAAACAAATGGAGACCACAACATTATTTATTGCTGGAGTGGCCAGAAAATTCAAATCATGCCAATTACCTACCTAAGTTCTGAATCTGGTAATCTTTTATATGCATGGTATGGTTACATGGATACCAAATAAGGCCCTGATTCCAAAATGTGTCATATGTGAGCAGAGCTGTCCCTAGGGGTGTGGGGGCCCAGGGTGTTGATCAGCAAAGGGTGGGGGGGTATGAGCAGCCAAAGTGGCCACAGCTGGGGGAGAGGGGGGAGGAGGGAGGAGCAGCCAGAGCCGGCAGCGCTTGGTAGCAGCAGCGCATGGTGGCCGTGGCAGGGCCTATATTTGACTGTCCCCCCAAAGCTCAGGGCCTAGTATAGTTGCTCTGAATCGCCCCCCCTTAGGGATGGCCCTGTATGTGGGTGGACCTTTGTGCTCATAAAGGGCCCTGGTGAAGTTAAACAGGCTCTGCACAAGCACTTGCTGGGTCAGAACTAGTTTCTAATGCAGTGAAGCAGTACGTCTTCTGTAGTATGTAAGCAATTTGGACAAAGCAGTAGGTTTTTAACTAGGGTTAATAACTAATGCTATCACAGGATAATTTATAGTGAGCATAGCAAGCAGAAAAGGCAGAATACAGGCAAGATACCTGAAAACGTGGGTTTAAGGTGAGGATTCTTAGGTGGAAAAAAGGGACTATGTGGCAAATACAAGGGAAGAGAAAATACCATCGGTTCATGAGGCAGCATGACAGAAGGAACAAAGTCCACAGTATCAGGGAGGGGAAGGATATTGCGTGGCAAGAGGTTCAGAAGTATGTAGGGAGAAACCAAGAGAGAAATAAAGCAGTATGAGAAAAGATTAACAAGGGACCAAACCCCATACACTGCTGAAAGAGAGAATGACAAAATGAAATTTGCTTTTTTAATGTACAAGGGTTGGGAGCTCTTAGCTGATGCACTGATTTCTGTGACTGAAATGCATGCATCTAAAAGCAGAAATTAGTCGAGAAATTCACAAATGACTAACTTAAAATGAAACTAACCTTCTGTTTTCAAAATCCCTCCTGACTTCAATGGGAATCATAAATCTGCCCTTAATATGCTTGGAAGCACGTAAGTTTGATCATCAGGAGAAAACAAACACAAAGTACTTACTAGAAAATGCATGGCCAATGCCAACTGTTTAGCTACTTCCAGTTTCCACAAGATGTTAATAGAATTTTTGTTCTTTTTCAAATATGTGTCCAAAGATCCAAATTTTACATACTCCTGTACCAGGATATCTGAGATTTTAAAAAGAAAAGCAAAATCAAAATTCCAAGCCAGAATATTTATTTGGTAATTATCTTTCCAGTTCTTTCATTGTAGCTAAGTACAGTTTTGAGATTTAATTCAATGTCATATCATATTAAAATGCCACGGGACTTCTATATTCTGCATTTTCAGTTCATTGCATAACTATTTAGTTGCTTTCCTTATGCCAACATGAAAATACTTCTAGTTAAGATTTCTAATAGTCTATTCTTTTTGATCAAATAAGCAACTACTAAGGTGAAGGTCCAACTTATTTTGAATATGCCTTCCCTTCACCCAAAAGTGACAATGTAATAAATAATAGTGTTTTCAGTAGTATCAGTATCACATTAATAAAACCAATATTACTGTTTCAAATAATTACTTTCTAATGTGGCTGCAATCTTTATTATTATTCTGTTTGTAAACAAACCTTTCGTTCTTCTGAAATAAAATGCTGTTGATTCTCTTAATGACTCATCACACCCTTGTTGAAACAGCTGTTCCCCTTTGAAAATAGAAGCTGATAACAGCTTGGCTTGTAGAGGTCCAGGAAGGCCCGAGTATTAATATGGGGACATGCCTTAACAACCTTCCAGTCAAGGACACAGGAAACAAAAAGACTGTTTTTAAATGTAGATAAGCAACACAGCTACATGGATGCTATCTCCATGTTTCCATTAAAAATAATTAATTTCTTGCAAGTGAACCCTGAATTCATGCTTTCCATTGTAAATGGATAATATAGTAATGTTCTTCATCTGGCGTTCAAGCACACTAAAAACCATTGGAATTACTGTGTGTTGCTTATCTTATAGGCACTTAGCAAGAAAAACAACCACCACAAATCCTGGATCACAGCTTAGCTTTCCAGAGATCATTTGGCATTTTTACTATTTTTAACAGTTTTATTCAAATTACACCAGAGCTATCAGAATTATATCAGTAAGTTAGTTGCTAACATAAGAGATTGGCTCCTTTTCAGTAGATTAGGCCATGGGAAGACATGCATATGGAGTGTTTCAAATTCCACTCTAATTTGGAACACTTCAAAGTGAGAGCATTTCAGTGATGTAAAGGTGAGCAGCTATCCCCAGGACTCACCCTTTGTCCTTGCCAGAGCAATTCAAAACTACCACAGTGGCATGCAGCAGTGCTGTTCTCTCCAGGCAGAAGGTATGAGAAGCAGCTGCTCAGTCCTCCAGCATCCCCCACAATGCTCTGCTTCCCCTCTCCCCTGTGGGAGAAGAGGGACAGTACCAAGCAAAGCACTGTTGCATACCAGAGGACTAAACAAGACCCACCCACCTCTCCTGTTTCAAGAAGTGCTTCAAAGATGTTCCTCATGATTTGAAGATCATTTCTGAAGCACTTCATTATCTGTATGCTTGCTGTTTGGAACACTTCAAGCAGGATATCTGTCTATTGCCTGTCGAAGTTATATACATGAATCATTTGCATGTAATAGAAGATGGATTATAAATTAAGCAAAAAATAATTACTGAATTTATAAACATGCTAACTTAAGATGCAATTCTCCAATGATGTAATACAGCAAAGTATTCAACCAGTAAGCTGTGTGAGATCATGCTGCCTTGTAGAAACATGGAAATCAAGGAGAAATAGCAAATACAGAGGAATGTAAAAACTGGAACGAACAGTGTCAGAATAGAATTGGGGGAGGGGAAGGGGACGAAAAAAAAATTAACAAAACCTCAAAAGCTAGGTGTTCTCAACTGGGCAGTCACAGTACTGCCCTTCCATCCTGCTAAATAGGAAAGGGAATCTGCACCTGGGCAAACTAAGTTAGATTGGGTGGCCATTTTTAACCCAGTCTAACCTCTTACTAACCCCTGCCACCCAAATGTCTGCACTTAACCAATTTGTTTCTCTTGATAAAAATTCTGGTCAGTGGCAGAGCAAGCTTGTAAGGCCACTCCCAGGTTCTTTCTTTATTAGTCAGAGGACATAAGTAGTGGTGTTGTTGTAGCAGAGATGATCCAAGGAATATAGAAGCAGCAAGATTTGTTAGGTAACAAATCTATTACCAGTCATATAGCTGTGAGAGATGTTGGACAAGCTTTTGAACACAAAACGACCTCGGGATGGGCATTTAGCACTCAATAACTTGTCCAACATCTCTCCTACCTATGTAATTGGTCCAGTAAAAGGTACTGCCAGTGGAAATACAAGGACATGTACATCTTATAATGAAAGATAGATAGAATTTAGGACCCAGAACAATTTGTTGGCAAAACATTTGCAAATACCCTTTAACTGAATTCAGGGCATGTCAAACAGCGAGTTTGTCCCTGCATTAAGCCAATGATAAAAACAAAAAAGAAATGTTAACACTTTTACACAGTTATTCTAGAATGTGTTATCTGTTACAAACAGGGAATCTAGAAAGAAAGAGTACACTAAAATAATTTGGAAATCTCTAAGAAAACTAGATATGGAAAATAAATTTATTTAACAAAAAAGTGGTACTTATGCCTATGGTAAAAGAAATGCAAAAAAAACCATGATTCTAAGAAAAAAGGATTTCCTAAAATAAAATATATTAAGACAAATTTGAAAAAAATTAGATGGTTAGCTCAAATAAAAGCCCGGTGCTATCTATAAATACAATCCTACCTAAAAGTTTGAAGTTGCTTAGCAATAATTACAATACTAAAGGCTGAACTAAAGATATTCTACATTTTACCATAGTTTATACTATTTTATTTATTTATTTTTAAATGATGGGCTCCTGTATTTTCAGAATTGGTTGCCTAAGCTGCACCTTCCAAAACTGCCCACAATATTTAGCACTTGGTCAAGCAAAAGAATATTAGAGTAAGTATTTTTGTGCAGGGCAAACACCAATTTCCTTGAGCAATCAAGCATTTATACTCACAATTAATCATCAGGCACATGCAAAATTTACAGAATTTCAGTCTGGTTTCAGATTATTTGGAAAATTGACTCTCAAAAGGCTCTGGCCATAAACTACACATATGCCAACGAATCATCTGCAAAAGCTACAGTGTACATTCCCATAATCCATGCGAGTTTTCCCATAGTGTTTCCTGGTATCACTTTATTACTTCAATTCCTGCTTGGTTCATCAGTTTTAAGATGGAACAATGATTATTAGTGGTGCACCAATAAAGATTTTCTTGGTCGATACTGATAGCTGATTATTAAGCAGCTATATTGGCTGATACCGATCTGATAACTGATTGGATAGGAATGCAGCCAGGTAGCTTAGAGAGTAGTGTCCTGCCAGTAAGTCTGTGGTGGGGGGAAGGGGAGGGAAGGATTGGGGGGCCAGATCAAGGCCCCCACAGTAAGGAAACGAGGGAGTGGGGCAGGGGCTGGGGTAGGTGCTGCCCAGCCAGGGCAGTGAATGGGACCCTGGGGCCGGAGCCAAAGGCGGCTTGTCAAAGGGGGCACAAGGGGGTAGGGAAGGGGGCGGCTCCTTACTACTGTGAGCATCACTGGGGGAGACATGGGACCATGTGTCCCCCGAGATTTGTGTGCGGGACAGAGGCGGGCTGCCTGCTGCGGGCTACAGCTGGGCTGGGGCTGGGCGGCAGTGGTGGGAAGGGTAGTTACAATGGGGCTAGGGTGAATTTTGGGGTGGCTATAGCCCCCCAAGTACCCCCTTAGCACCACCCCTGCTCAGGGCACTCTGCTCTGCTGTCTTTCCCTTGGGAGCCCTGCACTGGCCATGTGCCCCCTGCCCACTCAACAGCATGCAGCTCCTGTGGGAAAGGCAGCAGAGTGGAGTGCCCCGAGCGGCCTCCCCCCCGCCCCTGTAGCCATACCTCTGAGCACTGCTGCCTGCCCCATGCAGCTGAGTATGCCCTGCTCCCACCCACTCCAAGCCCAGCCCTGCCCCAGCACCCCCTGCCAGGAAGAGGCTGGCACTGCCCCTGGCCCCGAACCTGCAGCAGGCAGCCTACCTCCGCCCCACACACACAAATCTGGAGGAGACATGCCCCCCATGCCTCCCCTGGGGGTGCACGCAGTGGTGAGGAGTAGCCCCCTGCAACCCCCACAACCCCTGGACGAGCTGCCCATGGCTCCGTCCCACACATTCTCAGTCCTGGCTGAGCAGCACCTGCCCCTGCCCCAATCCCTCCCTCCCCATGCGGGGCCTCAATCTGTCCCCCCCATACTCCCTCCCCCATGCCCCCTCTCCCCACAGACTTACTGCCAGGATGCTGCTCTCCAAGTTGCGTAGCTGCATTCCTGTCTGTGTGCACGTGGCATTTATCCGTGACCTTACTGGCTACACCAGCCAAAAAAACCCGATAGCTGATAATGTTGTGTTTCCTTTTATCAGTGCTGATCCGATATATGACTGATATATCGGTGCACCTCTAATGATTATGCAAATAAACTTGAGAGCAGGTTTCTAAAGTGACAAAAACAAACTACCAAATAAAAGTTGTGTGAAATTAAGTCATATAATTATTGCTGTTACTTACTCTCCTCTCCACAGACACAGACTCCATAATTTAGTACCAGGTGCTTGTAAGAAAGCTGGCTCATCATGCTTGCTGCCTCAAAGAAAGACTGCAATGGAAGAGTATAGAGCATAATAATCAGAGGAGATGATGCAAATAATAAGCTATTTTTAATTAAACCTCTGAAAGCAATCTACATTTTTCAAACAACTTCAATTCTTAAGCACCAAGCAAGGTGCCAGTATAAGAGGCTGTGTTGCTGTTTGTTTGCACACTTTATTTTAATAATTGCTTTACGCACACTGTTGGGCAACCCATGTATATCATATAATTTATTGGTGATGGGGAAAAAACCTGATGTGTGGAGAAAGAAGCTTTACACATACAGAAAATAAGTGGTGCTCATATAGAATTTCTTCTAACCGCTGGTGTACATCTGAACTTTGGAAAGAGGGCAAGGCCAATAAATGGAAAGTGGTTAACTGGTAAAAAGTTTTGGTGTACAGTATTTCATTTCATTTGAATGTAATAGATTGGGTTTAGATTTCCTTTTAGATCCAAACTCTCTACTTTGTGCTGCTCAGGAAATGAAAGGGGCTAGATGCTGGCTATATGTGGGCAATTGAAAATTCCCCCAGTCATAGGTGATGCGGAGGGGGAGCACATGACCCACCTGAGATTGGCCCTCGCTGGCTGGGGACTGGGGGGGGGGTGATGGCCAGTGCCTCCCTGAAATTGTGGGGGCACTGAGAGAAGCGGCAGTGGCACTTCTGCCAGCGGTGGAGATTAGCCACTGGGGGATGGCCCCCTGTCGGTGATCGGCCACTGGTGCCCCCTCCAGTATCAGGAGGCATGAGTTGCCCATGCCCCGAGTACAGCAGAACAGGGGGGGGAGAGGGAGGGGGATTTTAAGTTCTCAACTGATGTACAGCCTCACAGCCTCTCCCACCAACCCATCTGAACCACAAGCACAGGGTGCCAGAGGCAAAAGTGGACATGACTAAAGCATTTCACTCTGGTAACATTTGGATGGTAGATGGTCACTTAGGCTGCCTATACACATGCTCAAAGACAGGGGCATGTTAATTAGAGCCATTCCCAAGCAGCTGCAATAATTAAAATGCTGCAGCATCACATGTATTAAGCTCCCAGAGACTTAAAAATGGCCGCAGGTTTAGTTAAAGTGCTCCATGGCCATTTTAAGCATTTTAAAGTACTCCATGACCGTATTAAGCAGGGGCTTAATACACATGATGCTGCAACCATGCTGCTGTGTACTTATTAAAATGCAGAGCAGGCTCAATTAATCGAGTCTCCTCTAATTAGAATGCGAAGAAACACATATATAGGCACCCTTAGGGACCACTGTTCATTGACAAGGGTTACAGCAGTCCTAGGCCACAGCTTATGTGGGAGATGTGCACAGCAGACATTATTAGGGAACCATGACCGATTCCTTAATGTCCACCCAGCTCTCCAGGTGTAGGAAACAATCTGCTCTTTGATTACATATAGCACTCCTCCAGGTTATTCATTGTTACAGACAATGGTAATAGTTTTTAGGTAACAACCAATAAACATGTTAATACTATACTCAAGAAACATACCAACCTCAGAGTAGTTTCTATGCAGCTTATCTAGCACTTTTAAAAGGACTTCAGTTTGATGGAGCTGGCCATAATCTCCCACTTCTTTTCTTATACCTTTGGATACCTTAGTAAAAGTGCCTTGCCCAAGACTCTCTTCCTAAAAGACAAAAAAAATAGGCTGACCACAAGAAAGGAGCAGTCAGACAGACTTCAGACATCTGTCAGTTCTGGAACTCATTTAACAAAGTTCTCCATAAAGCATGTGAAAACCTTTAGAGCTAATGCAATCCGGTTCAAGAGTCAGACTAACAGAAGCAAGAAATACCTAGGTTACCCTAAAGCTTTGTTTTAATGAAGATTTATACTAAGACTCTTCTTGGCTATCTGGGAACATTAGAGATGGACTGCTATGAGAAGCAGAAGAGGAGGTGTGGTGTGTGGGCATCTTTAGGAGTACAGAGAAAAAAACATTTTTAAAACAAAAACTTTTTTATTAAGGAAAAACATGTTAAAATATTTTTCTTAAAATGTAACCAAAGGAAATAGCAAAATATCTTGCTACAAACAGGAACCAGATTTTAATAACTCTACAAACACCCATATATCTACAGAACTTACAAATATCAAATCCTCATTACGGATTTTGTGAAAGACCATTTGGTTGGCATTATTGTGTCTCTGTAGTGTGGGTGACGTAGGTACAGAGACACCATTGCTCCTGAAGACTAGAAGATTAGATTTATCTGGAAAAGAAAAAGAAAGATGACATCTCATTAAAGACTTAAACTGCAATGTTATTTCAGCAGAATTATTAATAAGTAAAGATATTATTCTACTCTGATTAAAACACCACACCAGAGGGACAGAGCAATTTATTTAAAAATTCAATGGTTCATTAAACAAATGTCAAATCTGGATCTTTCTGGCTAGAGATAATATTTTGGTTCCATCTCTTTTCTCTTGATTATATGTTTCTCAAGCACTCTTACTTTTGACCAATACAGCATTATAGTTCTGAAAATATTGCACATCACTTTTCATGTATCTTAACTTTTGCTGTGTTTGCAGGAATACTTAAGGCATGTTAAAAAAGCACATAGATGACTCATCTTTTGCATTCCACAGCCTTCTTAACAAGGATGTTATTTAATACTTTTTTCTAAAAGCTCCTCTGGAACTTAATATAATCTTGCTACCAGCTGCAGGCCTTGACTACTTTATATCTAACAAGCCTATTGCCATTACCTCCTTAGGCAATTTTGGGAAGAGACTCTAAGTGAAGTCCTACTAGTGATGTAACTGGGGTGGAACTGGGCATGCACAGATGCAGTTGTAATGTATATGAGAGAAAGAGAGAAACATTATCTTTTAAATACATTAATGAATGTGTTTTGATGCATGATGTGTAATTTTTGAGTGAGAATTGCTAAATCATCATAATTATTTCTTTACTGTAGGAGGGCTGGACTCGATGATCGGGGGCTGGACTTGATGATCTTCTGAGGTCCCTTCCAGCCCTAATGTCTATGAAATTTAACAGGTCTTTCATAATGAAGATGTGAAGAAAAGTACCAACACAAAAATGCGGCTGATCACTGCCAAGAATACTGAAAAATCTTAATGATTAAGGCGATTAAATGGCCGTCACTATTTACCTCTGAATTCCAAAACCAAGGAATCTAAAGATAATTAGACATATTTGTGTTGATAAGTAAGGGTTACAAATCTTACCTTTTGGTTTTGGAGGGCAGCATCTGGTAAACTGGAAAATGATAGAGTCTAAACGCACTGTTTCGGTCTGATAGCAGTTCAACAGATCCTTAAGATTACTGAAACTTCTCTGCGTTCCACTTAGGTTATACTCCCCAATCTCATTTTTTGTAATTAAGCAGTGCTTACAATCAGTGATACCGTCTCGCTACATAGTTTTTTATTTAAAAAAGAAAAAAAAACCCATTTATTATTTACATTTCTAAACAAAAAACAGTCAAATAACTAAAGAGGAAATTCTTAAGTGATGCATTACTGTTGTTTGATATTTCAATCCTAATATCTAGTAAAAAAAGATGATTCTATGTTAATAAGACTAATGGAAGGCTCTGGAAGTAGCAGTTAGCATTTTACCATTAGCAATGGAGGACACAATCCAAAGATTATAAAAAATGAAGACAGTATTTCATTGCAACAAAAGTCTTTATGTGAAAATGTAATGATACTAGAAGTTCCAGATCTGAATGTTGAAGAGAAGACATCAAGGAAAATATGTTTTTTTTGGTGTTCCTTGAAGCACATGAGATTCTTCTGACAGACACCTTATGAAGATCCATGCTAGATTCCTATTTTGTTGTCTACAGTTCTGTTGTAGGTCAGACCTGATACAGTCTTAACACATGACAAATATCTCTAAAACAAATTTTGAAAAGGTCATTGGAAATTTTTATACTCTAATTGCTCCCTAAATTATCATGTGCTCTATCATTATAGTGATATTTGGTATTCCTTGGAAGAATGTTTTCCATATCAGAAACCCTCAGATTGCTCAAAAATATTTAGAGCAAGAAATTACACAAATCTGCTATTAAACATGGATGAACAAATCAGACAAAAAGTTCTAATATTCAGTTTTCCCTGGTAAAAAAGAAACAAAATTTCCTCAGTGAATGAGCTATGTGATTCTAGAAGACATTTGTTTCCTTGTTGGTTATGTTTTTCCAATTTAGCAAAGATGCCTATATGTCTGATTAAGCAAATCCTAAAAAAGCTCGGGTTTTTTGGGGGTTTTTTTGGTTCTCCATCTACACACTGACATTATACGTTGCCTTAAAAGACAAAGACAATACTGAGGGTATTTTTTAGAAAAGTAACGAGATACTGATTTCAAGACTGAAAAGCTCTATTAATTTTTCATATACACAAAAAAAAGCCATTTAATTATATAGCAATATAATGCACATTAAATAAATGTTACGAACAGCAATATCAGCAACAGATGAGAATTAATATCTAGTTCATGTATGTGTCTAAAAGGAACAAACACCAATTTACTGTCTGTAAATGAAAACACCGTTATACAGTGGTCCTTTCTAACAGAGAATTATTTTTATGGCTTTTATAGCAATATAGGCTGAGTTAATGTTAATATCTGGTGCGGTAAACTAACCTCTACAGCAAAGGTAAGGAAGTATTTCTTAAAATCTTTAGGACTGCAACGAAGAACATAGAGGCCAGTCTGATTGCCCGCTTTCTTCAGTTTATTGATTGCAAAGTCCATGCTATAGTAAAAAAAGAAATGTTTGTTACTGAACAACTTGAGAAAGAAAGAACAGCAGAGTTTTTCACTAATGACTGCTATTATAAGATAACTAGCACATTGTTGACAAGCTCAAGATATTTAATAGAAGGATTAATTCAATGCCTATGTACAATGATGCTTGCTTTTTAAAACTGCAAGGTTTTTTGCTTATTCTTAATCTACTTCTTTCACCTGCTATTTTTTAACACAAGGATACATACTTACATGAGGAGGAGTTCTACTGAAGGTTGTTATGATAGTAAAGTCATGTTTTATCAGAAGTCTTATAGCCTAAAGAAAATTTAATTTCTCATGGCTGGTGAATTTTTAATTCCTATCAGAAAAGGGTAAAGTTTCATCCAAACAACTTCATGACATGCTAAAATCACTTTCATGCAAGCAAGGTGACAAACTTAGGGAAGGGGCTCACAGGAGAAAGAAAACTGGATAGTAAAAAAAAAAAAAAAAAAAAAAAAGTCCTGAATCATCCATCATTTCAAACTGTGAAATCAAACAACCATGAAACTTCTTGCTATGCATTCTCTGGCGGTTCATCTCTGGTTCCAGAGGTTATGAATGAAATGGCTTGAGAGGGTCTAGGCTTAGCACATAATCTTAAATCAAATTTAACAGCTGACTACTCTTTTTTACTTATCGGCCACAAGGAGAGAGAGGAGCTTTATTTATTAGCATTGGTGTTGCCTAATCTCTTCTGACCAAATCTCTGTTATTCCTGCTTTTCCCCAAAATATTATTGGAAAATTCCCAGAGTTATGGTTTAAGTGACAAGATACTAATTTTGTGCAATTTATCCCTGTATGCTATGTATACTGGCTTGTTCAAATGATGGGAAAAAAATCCAATTCACTTGTGATATGTAGAATCATAGAATATTAGGGTTAAGAGGGACCTTAGGAGGTCATTTACTCCAACCCACTGCTCAAACCAGAACCACCCCCAACTAGATCATCCCAGCCAAGGCTTTGTCAAGCTAAGCCTTAAAAACCTCCAAGGATGGAGATTCCACCACTTCTTTAGGTAACCCGTTCCAGTGCTTCACCATCCTCCTAGTGAGAAAGGTTTTCCTAATAACTAACCTAAACTTCCCTTGCTACAACTTGAAACAATTGCTCCTTGTTCTGTCATCAGCCACCACTAAGAACAGTCTTGCTCCATCCTCTTTGCAACCACCCTTCAGGTAGTTAAAGGCTGCTATCAAATCCCACCTCAGTCTTCTCTTCTGAAGACTAAATAAGCCCAGGTCCCTCAGCTCTTCCTCATAACTCATGTGTCCTACCCCCCTCACCATTTGTGTTACCCTCTGCTACACTCTCAATTTGTCTACATCCTTTCTATAGTGGGAGGCCCAAAACTGGACATAGTACTCCAGGCGTGGCCTCACCAGGGCAGAATAGAGGGGAATAATTACTTCCCTCGATCTGCTGGCAATGCTTCTACTAACGCAGCCCGATAAGCTGCTAACCTTCTTGGCAACAAGGGTGAACTGTTGACTCATATCCAGCTTATTGTCAACTGTAACCCCCAGGTCCTTTTCTGCAGAGCTGCTGCTTAGCCAGTTAGTCCCAAAACTGTAGTGGTGCATGGTGTTCCATCCTAAGTGTAGAACTTTGAACTTGCCCTTGCTGAACATCATAAGGTTTCTTTTGACCCAATCCTGCTATTTGTCTAGGTCACTGAATCCTAGCCCTACCCTCCAGCACACCTACTACAACCCCCAGCTTGGTGTCATCCATGAACTTGCTGAGGGTGCATTCCATCCCCTCTTCCAGATTGTTAATGAAGATATTGAACGAAAGTAGCCCCAGGACTGACCTCTGCAGTACTCCATTTGATACTGGCTGCCTACTAGGCATCGAGTCATTGAATGATCACTCCCTGTTGAGCGGAACAATCCAGCCAGCTTGCTATCCACCTTATAGTCCATTCATCCAACCTATACTTCCTTAACTTGTTTGGAATAATGCTATGGGAGACCGTATCAAAAGGCTTACTAAAGACAAGGTATATCACATCCACTGCTTTCCCTGCATCCACAGTCAGTCATCTCATCATAGGAGGCAATGGGGCTGGTCAGGCATGACTTGCCATCAGTGAATCCATGCTGACTGTTCCTAAGCACCTTCTCCTCCAAGTGCTTAGAAATGGATTCCTTGAGGACTTGCTCCATCATTTTTCCATGTAAATACTCACTTTATTCTCCCTACTTAACTTCAGGAATCATATAATCTGAATTCACAATATCGGTAATGGTACTATATGAAATATTAAAATCAAGAAACACCAAATTGCTTCTCCAAAGAACTGAAGAAAGTGAGCAGGCAACATCTGTACAAAAAGCAGTTAATGGGTTAGCAATTTCTTGTTTTTCTGCTCAATTATTGAAGATAGTAGCATTTGAATTTGCCTTTTTTGTTTGCAACTCAGAATATATTTCTGCTAGATCCTTCAGTAAAAACATAAATCCTCTGTTTAGGATCTTATACATAGTTGCCATGGCGATATTTACAATTTCCTAAATTTCGCTTTATGTCTATGCTGCGTGGTAGAGCTAGAGGAAAAAGATGAACTTGAAGCAGGGCAATTTTTTAATATTCTTGTATTAATTTTCACACACTTTATGTACAACACACACCACAAAAGGGATCATCTTTCTCTTGTTCCATGTTTTCCACATTATCTCAAGAGCAGCTCTATACAGATGGCAGAATACAGAGCTGAGCTGATAGTAAATATAACAATTAAAAATGGTATACCCCTTTTCTTAAAAAGCTAAAAGGAAAATTGTATTTAAAAAAATATTTTGCAAAAGTGAATACAGAAAGCAAACACGTATTCTATTACATAAACATATACTACAGTACATCCATCAGATTTCAATCCAGTTAAAGCTTGCCCTTCAACAATAAAAGTGCCTTATTATCTTATTTCAAGAACACTGCTTACGAGATTGGTCCATGGCAGTTGCTTTGAATATTTTCAAGCACTGAAGGCGGTGCTACTTCTTTACAAAGGTAATGGTGAGCATCTGCAGTTAATCTGTAATATCCATCAATTAATGATACAAAAGAGAGAGCTTCTTTCAATGACTGAAATTCAGCCTCCTATGAAAGTCAAGTAGAAAGAGAAAGTTCATAATAGTTAATATAATTCTCAGACAAATATAGCAACAGTATATATGAAATACATAAGCACACATTAATAGCAGTGATGGAAATTAATACTAAAAAGAATCTGGGTCTTTTTGTTTTACTGGAGCACCTAGGAGACTATGGCGTGTAGCAGCATGCCTTTGTGCTAGGCTCTGTACAAAACAGAAAAAATTGACAGTTCCTGTCCCAAAAAGAGGACAATGTAGTTATAAGACAGGAGACAGCAGATAAAGAAGTATGAATTAAAATGAGTCCTCGCTGGGCAACACAATAGGCATTGGTTTCAACTTACAAGCCTCCCAGCTATTATCAAGTTTCTACGTAGGAATCACAGCAAAGATTTGAAAGAGAAACAAACAAGTGGCTTTGCTGCACAAGAGACAGAACAAAAGTGCTTATTTGAAACTTGAAAAAACTGGCAACGAAGGGTGACATCATGGCCCAGATCACTGATAGAAGTTGAGTGTTTCATCTGTGCAGATGGATAGGAAAGCTGCATCTCAGAGATGCAGAAAGACTCTGCCAGACATTGACATAACCTAGAGAAAGAGCAGTCTCAGTTGAAGATAACACCCAGATTATAAACCTAAGAAAGAATAAGGGTAGTAGAGATGTCGGAAATAATCAAAAAAAAGAGTGTAAGCAAAGCAACCTTGGGGTAAACAGGATAGTAAGAACTTCAGTTTAGGCACATTAGCAGTCAGCTCAAGCTCAGACAGATACAGAGAAGTCAGAGTGATTTTAGTTCAGACAAAAGATGACAGGTCTGGAGTACAGAGAGGTGTATTTGTGAGTCACTTGTCTACCAGTGGTAACTGAATTTGTACTTGTGGTTGAAATAACCCAGAAATAAATTGCTGAAGTAGAGAAGGAGACTGATGACACAGCACCCTAGAAGCTGCTCAGAAGTTTGGAAGAATGAATGGCATATTTCAAAGATGCTAAAGGAGAGTCTGTGGAATCCAGGGAAGAGACGGGTGATAGAGGTTAGGGTAACCTGTCTGAACTTGATGTATGACCTGAAGGTTAGAGATGCATAATGGGCTCCCATCCCACTTTCTTTTAATTAAGTTGTATTGGGAATAGAAGCATTTTGCTCAGAATTCTTGCAGCAGTTCTTTTACTGCTCCCAACTGTAAGAGGGAAATGACTTCTCATCTTAGATGCATCTTGGGATACACCAGGACTTAAGAAAGGATGGGAAAAAAAGAAGAAAGGGCAGGGCTGGGACAAACAGAAGTTGAATGGGATATCCCACATTTATAGCTCACACAAATGCCCTTATTTCAGCTTAATCAGCTGCCCATGATTACTGAGCATTGCTGTGTTGCAGGACATGAAAATCTTGAATTCTAGACTTGTTTCTCCTGGCTTTTTAGGGAGCATCAGGGACCAGAAACTCTCAGTTAAATGACTCTTAGAACTTACTACCAACAGGCAAACTAAGATTATCTAGATAAGTATCATTAATCACATGAACAATAAAATAGCTCTAATGAATCTCTTTGTAGATCAAAGACATGCAGGTGCTGTGAGGTTCCATCTCATGAATGTGGGTACTAATCAGGAACTGAGGAATTGTTGATGCTATCCCACCCTCTCCACCCCTGGCTGGGGTGGTTAGAAGAGCACCCAGGGCTAAAGCATAACCCAAGAGATACTGCTATTTGAAAGAATTAGATCTCATGCAGTCTACAATTGTCACATGAGTACCAAAAGTAGAATCTAAATGGACAACCACTCAAAGAGCATCTTTTAATTTTAAATTCACTTGAGGAATTTTCAATTGATCCATATCGAAAGACATACGTTTTTGAGAATAAAGGTCTTCATTCTACAAACTTGAGTACATTTATGATTTTATAGAAGACATTGTTTAACTATAAGTCATGTTTCTGTTTAAAGGTGAAAACCTTGGTTTTCTCTTAAAAAGTTAACAGGGTATACAAGCATGTTTTCTCAGGAAATATTTTCATTTGTTTGTATTTCAATTTCTACTAAGCCCTGATTCACTAGAGAAGGGGTGCTCAATTTCTGGCCTGTGGGCCAAATGTGGCTCATGGAGCCAATGCATCTGGCCCATGGGGCTCCTCATGGGTCACAAAATCTAGTGCTGGTGGCAATTAATATGGCCACCCTCCCTCTTGCCAAATTCCCAAACCTCAAGTCCAATGTAGGGGGGTGGAGCCAGAACATGACCGCTCCCTTTTCCGCATGCAGCTGGTTCGGGGCTGTGCCATGACCCTCCCTCTGTGGATCCAGGTTGGGCTGGGCCATGCCCCTGACCCCATGAGACTTCCCCTGCAGGGCCAGGCTGGGGACACCTGCCAGATCTGGCCCACAGATGGACCAGACACTGCCCATCCATCCTGCAGGGCAAAAATGTTGAACACCACTACACTAGAGGGCTCTTTCAGACAATGAACAGAAAAAAAAGAAAAAAAATGTTCTTTAAAGATGATCTAATAATTTCTGGCAATAAAGATATAAGTAGTGTAACTAAAAAGTTGCTGAAATACAACCCTGTTCCATAATCAATAGTAGATGACAAACAGAACCAGAAGGTTGCTACCACGAGTATTCCATGAAGGTACTGAGCCAGTGAACTGACAGTAGCTATATGAATCTGGCTGAGCTTCTGAACACAGTGTACGTTCTTCCTTCTAAACAGACTCTAAATGTCTCTGAAATGAGACAACCACTTTTCTACACTCATTTCATATGATTATGCTTACACTTACACACACCCTTCATGTTCTTTTGTTCTTCCTTTCAACCTTTTGTTTCATCTCAAGCTTTCAAAGCCTTTTCATTTAATCTCAGCACCTCTACAAGTAAGCAAATAGTAGCAAGTTGACAGCTAAGAACATGGAAATTGTTGTGCAGCATCATAAATAGACAGCTTTTTACCCCACACATTGCTTTCCTCTGAAATTTTTGTATACAGTAATTCCAAACTAAATAACAATTAAAAAAGGAATGCATTTTGAAACATAAACTTCAATGAGCCCAAATGCAGCAATAACCAACCAAACAATTCAAGTATTTAAAGCACCATGCCCTGATGACAAGAGAAAGGAGGAATTTTCATAACAGGAAGGTTTTAGTTCAAGTTATATTCTTCTCTCTCTCACTTCCAAGATGTTTCCTCCTATTGATTTCCTCCTATGTTTCCTCCTCTCAAATTGATTATATTCCATATATGCTTCTTTGTGACAAACTCAGTTAATTCTGGATTCCAGAAGATGTAGTCTTTGTTTTGATACTTGGCTAGTAGCTGTGCTGCACAGCGGGAAGTGAAAAAAAACACCCCTAAACACTTGCATAGAGGTTTTCATGTCTAAATCACTTTGCAACAACTACTTCAACTGCAAGTCACTCTGGGAGGCAGGTAATTATTACCATATTTTTCTTACATTCAATATGCCCCAGAATAAAATGCGCCCCTTGTTTTTTGAAAGGTAGAATGAAGAAAATTTTTCCTCGTAGTAAGTAACTGAGTAGAAGCAGCAAGGGAGTCAAATATACTCATTGTTCTGCTCCCTGCAAGTCGCACGCAGATTTTCCATTAGTTTTTACCCAGTAAAGCAGAAACTGCTATTATATTTCTCACAAATAATGCACAGTACAATTTCAAGGAACTGTTTTTTGGGGAAAAGGTGCATGTTGTATGTGAGAAAATACAGTATACCAAATTTATAAATGGAAAAACTAAGGTTAAAAGTTTATTTGACTGAATCAAGGCCACAGTGATGGTCAGTATAAAAAGCAAGATTAAAAACACACAAGTTCCTAATCCCTGATGACAAGTTAGAGCCAGGAAGGAAGCCAGGTTTTGTCAGCTCTAGCCCAAATCCAAATTCTCCAAGTAACTGGCAGAACTCCCCTTGTCTCCTAGAAAATTAAAATAAACACAGATCCCAAAGTCTCTTTATTTCTCTTCTGCCTATTGTTTCAAAAAGCCTCCACTGGTTCCTCCCTGACAGGGCCACAACTTAATCATCTTCACATGGGCCACGGAGCCAAGAACACCAGGTATCTAATACTGGTGCTAACGTTGTCCAGGGCCACAGAGAGAATCAACTCTCACACTCCCCCAGTCAATTTCCCCCTTTCTAAAAGAGGAATAATTTCTAGCAACATCCCCCTATATTGGTAAAATGCTTCAAAATTCCAAAATATACTATTTGGAATACTAATAGTATTCCTCACACTAATTCCTCATTATTTTTATGCAACTGGAAGGAAGAGGAAGAGCTAAGTTTTTCATCAAATCCTAAAACAAATATCTATTTTTCCAAGGAAGCTTTGGCAGCTCACATATTTCAATTCTCTCTCTCTAGGGTTCTTTACCAGCCAATACCTTAAAATAACCTGTACTCTATGATCAAGTGCCAAGAGCTTGTACAGAGTCCTCCAATTTCTTTTTAAAGGAGGTGCTGGTAACAAATATATTTCCCAGTTGTTTCAACAGAGTCAAAAGAGGTTGTTACATAGCTTGTATTTCAAGCTGTAAGAAGTTATTCATTCTTTATCTTTCATGTGCCATCAATGTTGTAGATCCAATAAGAATGAAGTAGCCATGTAACTGCGAATATTAAATCTATTATAACTTTTTTCTTTTTTGAGAAGACAAAGTGTTAAAAAATAAGATGAATTCAAATTTATTTTCTGAAGGAAGGGAGTCACTTTAGTTATATATTTGAAACTTGCTGGCAGATACTCAAGACACTTCTCTAATTGCACAGACAGAAGGCTGAGCCAGGAACTCTGAAGCTAGGCAGATCAGCAACAAGGGCGAGAAAGAAACCACTACGTAATACATTTACCTCAGCTGGGAAATGCAGTTGCTAATGCAAAGAATTTTAAGAGACGTATATGTGACCTGAATTCACACACACTAAGTTCTCTTTATGATATTTTGTAAGGGATGTGTTTATACCACCAAACCATCACTTTTCAAATGCACAGCTCATACAGCATTTAACTGCAGTACCATTGGTTCTGCACCTTCATCTGGCTGGCTGTATACTGTGCTGCATTTAGCATTTCTTCAGATGACTCAGAACTCTCAATCCCACTTACCTTTTGCATAAGTACATTTCACTAATGCTTGTTGTCTCATTTAGGTTTAATCAGGATACCACAACTTCTCAGTAATTATACCATACAATCAAACCAGCATTAATATACAAATGATAAGCAAAATAAACATACCATATTCTTGCTGTCCTGCTTGTGAATGGTAACAATTCTACTTTCACTGGAGCCTTCTTGGCTTGCTTGCTTAATGCTGATGTCAATGATATCCGGAAAATCACAGTATGTCTGTAAATCCTGAAGTAAAATATTTGTAAAGAAATTATTTTCTTTGTTATATTATTGATGTACCATGAAACACTCTAGAATTCATCTAACTTCAGGTATTTTTTTCCCCATCTTTACCATTTTCTGCTGACAGGAATTCAAATAGAGCATCAAGTAAATAACATGGCTGATATGGATTTTCATATGAAAAAATACATGAATGCTCATCATCCAGATGAGTTATAGGCATATATATTTGTTAAAAATTCATATGCAGCTCAGCTTAGCTGTTTGATATGGTCCAACCCAACAGCAAGGAGCTAAATCAAAGGAGACCATTAGATGAATGTGCAAACTGATTTTTGAAGGCTCTGATTTCTATACAATTTCTACACAATAGCTCCTGACAATCAGAAAGTATCACAAGAATTATGAATTCAAGGCTGCTAGTCAAAAATTATCTGGTGACTAGCAGATGCCTTGTCAGTGAAGTAATCAAAATCATATTGATGCCAACAAGGCCAATTAGTCAAATCTCAACTTAATTTATAGTGCTTCTTGAATGCACAAATGAAGAGAATCCACATATATCCAAGTATGGAGTTACATTTTAAAAAATGCCAAAGAACAAATACCTTCTTATAAAAGTGTCATATTACATCATGGGCTATGATCACCTGAAACACATACTTAAACTCAGTAGATTCCAAAGGGTCTATATTTTTTGGTTTTATGTATTATAAAACAAGTCTGCATTAAGAGTAGCAATGTCATTTATGTATTTATTTTTTAAAACATGACCACCTCCAGTATTCATCTTTGGAAAATCCCTAAAGTGCTGTCCTTTGGTTTGTCCTATTTACATTGTCAAACTCACTGAAAAAGGAATTTTCTTTTATCTAAATCTAAAGGCTGCTTAAAAAAAATTCAATACTACAGACATGTTTTACTACAGTATCATACTGTGAAGATATTAACATGGAATAAGGCATGTTCCTAAAGTGACAGTCTTCAGAATAACACATAATTCTCCAGATAGGATCTGCATAAATTGCATGTTTACAAAAGAACAGATGGGACTTTCTTACAAAAGAACAGATACCATGAAATTCCATGCAATTGTCCAAGAGTCAGTAATTCCTGACTAACCACTAACTTATTTTGTACTAGCAGTTACCATCAGATACGGTAAAGTTCAACTGTTTAACAGCGATGATGGGAAACAATGAAAAAAGGAAAACCACGCAGATAAAGAATAAAATGCAACTGTGTATGACTAAGAAATTACTGAATAATTTAACTGTTTATTTCTTAAACTTAGGGTATGTGTATACTACAACTGTAGTTGGATAAAAATGGCTAGCTCAGAGACCAGTAGTAATTTAGTTAAGGTAGCATGGTTTCTTTAAAGTACTTCTTAAAATAGTGGCTTTATATATAGTTCAAGCATAGCTGTATGTACATGCCCTAAGTTACTTTCTCAGGTCAATAATCTTGCTTTAGACTTGCATTCCCTAATTATGAACTAATACAGTTATTGCTTTCTTATAAATAACATTAAAAAATGCACCTTATTTAAAATCTTGTGCTGTGTGACTGGAGACAAATATGCATCTCTTCAAGCCTAATTCCCATTAAAATCAGGTTAAATTTACAATTCACTCCACAACGCAGCCACATGATCAATCAACACATTTAATATAGGAACAAATTATTCCACTACCACGTAAATGTATAAAATCCTTAAAAACAATAAAGCAAAGCCATATTCTTAAGAATTACCTGTTCTGCCAGTGTCTCACTGTCTTTAAGTTTTCCTCTTGACCACTGAATTCCACTGTTTCCAGTTATTACAATGGTTGCAAATCTCTCCTCACCCAAAGGACCTCTGCCAGGCTCTTTCACTTCAAAAACCTCTGAATAGAAGGCTGACTGAAGGGTTTCCAGATTTATAAGATATTTAAGTTTCAAATTCCTGGCAGTAGCTTTACACTGGCCAAACTGCTGGATGAATTTGCGGAATCTGTACCTTATTCTTTTTCGTGTCAAAAAATGATAGTCCTGGATTTTTGCTCGAACGCATTTAGGCAAAAACATTTTGTAGCTGTGAAAACAAGATTATCACATAAATAGTGAAGATTACTTATGAAGCCTGGAAAAGGAAATTATTCCTGTGGGCTAAATAAAGTTAATGTTTACATTAAAAAATTACCAAGTGAACTGCTTGCTGTCTTACGATGACTTTAAATCAGGGGTGGGCAATTATTTGGGCCCACATGCCACATAGGTAGTTTTGGGGAGCTATCACAGGCCAGTCAGCACCCACCACCCCCTGCAACAGCCCGGGGCCTGTGCACCCTGCAGTTCCTCATTACCACCAGTGCCCAGCAGCAGCTGAGTACACTGCCCCAGGCCTGGCCTGACTTGCACCTGCTCCGGATTTGCCCCAGCTGGAGCGGACCAGCTCCAGGCCAGCTGGGAACCACATACACAGCCCTGACCCCAGCCCGCTCTGCGCCTGCTCCAGACCAGTGCCCATGATAAGCACTGGCAGGCAGGAAGAAGCTACTGCTGGACAAGGGGGAAAAGCGGCCTCCTCCCCTTTGCCGCTGCCAGGCCCTTCTTGCTGTGGTCACCCGGCTCCTCTCCACTGCCACCACTGCCCTGCTGGGCAGCCCAGAGGCAGCACTGGTGGCAGTGGTGATGGTGGCAGAGAGGAGTGGCAAGGCAGCCCAGGCCTGGGTGGGCTCCAGGTGGCTGCGACAAGAAGGGCCCAGCAGTGATGAAGAGGAAGTGGTCATTTTTCCCCCGCACCCAGCAGCAACTTCTGTCTGGCTGCTGTTACTGCCACTCATTGTGGGTGGGCAGGTCAGGAGTGAGAGTGGGGTGGGCTGTGGCTGGGGCTGTGTCCAGGTCCTGTCTGGTCTGAAGCTGGTCAGGACAGGTCCAGAGTGGGCACATGGTAGGCCAGCCCAGGGCCATGCACGTGTGTCCCCATCAGTCCAGAGCCGGAGTTCAGCTGCCAAGATGCACTGTGTGCCTGGGCACAATGGGATGTGCCAGAGGCTGGACAGTGGGGGACCAAGGGACCCACTGCAGGTGGCACAAAGTCCTTCATGGGCTGGATCTGGCCCACAGGCCATATTTTACCCACCCATTTTAAATTATAACTATTCTGTAAGATTTATTTCAAATACAACTGCACCAACTGTTTCCTTCACTAATTTCAATGTATGCTGTATTGCAATTTCCACAATTCCCAATTTAGTCATTATTACAGTATTTGAGTCAAAGAAGTTTAGTTCCATACAACAGACTAGCAGAATTTACTGTAAACTCTGCTTATTATGCTATTCAAAATGTTGACTTTCTTGGTCTTGCTCAAACACAGAATCACATATATTAAGTTTACAAAGATAAAAAAGGTTGCAATTCTAAATTATGTCACTAATGAAGTTTTGTACTGGGAGATAAATCACAGTTCTTAAGGACCAGAGAGGTTCTCTGTTTCCAGATGGATACAGCCTATATTTATTTATTTTAACAAATACAATCTCCATTATCCTGTGGCAATTCTGAACGTGTTAGGAGTAGGCAGAGTATTAGTAAAAATGGGGCAGCGGTATATATGGGTATGTGAAGAATCCTCAGAACTAAACCCCTGGCCTGCAGTAGAAGAGTTTGTCAAATGATGCCTATTATGATGTACATAAATGTCCAGTGAGGACTACTGTAAATATGTCACATTAATGAGATGTGAACTGTAACTCATGCTTCAGCTTAATCTCTTCAAATGATCAATGAGTATCAGGCTATCACTGACATATTTCTGCATTTGGAAAGGCTTGTTTAGGAAACAATGAGCTTTATTATCAGTTGGCGGCACTCCCTTTCATTAAGGTTTCCTGTCACTTGTTATTATGAGACCCTGTTTTCAGTTGTTTATCATTTTGACAAGTTTTAACCGTTCAGACTAAAATTAGGTTGTGACTATTCCTCATGCTGACTTTTAAATTGGTTTAAGCTTGGCCAAAATGGCTCAGCAATTTCAAGAATAAGGCTAGAGAAAAAAAAGTTTTGCCTGCATTACAAAATTCTTCAGAGCTTGTCTTTTAAATGCTCTGGGTCCCCCCATGTTTCTGTGCTTTGGGACAGAGATGTGACATTTGACACACTTTGTCAGGGATATTCCTTTTGCCTGCCGTGGAAAAATCCACCCAAATTTGTCCGTGTTATAATACGTCATTTTTTATTATTTTGTTCAAATGGCACCTAGTAATAAAATGGAGCCCATATTCATGAGCAGGGCTCTGTGTGCTACAGCAATAAAACAACAAGCATTAGTATATTATTTATAAAATTATACCATGCATTACTGAACTCTAGTAGCCTCTTGTCACCCCGGTAATAAAACACGACAAAGTAATGTAAAAGTTGGCACAAAAGGTAGGCCCAGGCTGGCATGAAGATATTTAGCAAAACAATAGACAAAAAAAACCTTAAAATGTTTCAGAACCAGACTATTTGAAAGGGGAGAAAACATATGATCTACTGAACTGGCTGTGTAAGCAAGAGGTGTTTGTTTGATAAAGTCTCCAGGAAAATAATAAAAATTAAAGTGAGTCCTGACATTCTAAAGAGGAAAAAGAAATTGAGTAGTTGGCCTTCCTCCCTACAAATGAAACAAACATTTCACCTTTGAGAGGGTGGTTTCTAAGGAATCCTGGATTTGCATATTGTAACATCAATCTTCTAATTTGATAAAAAAAAGTATTGCCAAGAGAGAAAGAAGCAGGGTATAATAATTTCTGACTCATGACACTGCATTGTGGTTCTCTCATGACTTAACAATATTCTTAGGGTGACTAGAAAAATCTAATAAAGTGCCAAAATCCCTTTTCATTTACTTATTGTACCCTAAAAAACCCCAGCTATTTGCAGAAGTCAGTTTAAAATAGAGATACTGTCATTCGAATTACATCAGGCTCTTGCTTACTTGAAAAGTGAGAACTATGCTTAAAAGGTTAATTTTTAATATATTTTTCCAACTCAAGTACCTGCTAAATATTTTTCTCTCACAGAAAAATGTTGAAATGGTCATGGAAAAAAGATTTTTGTAAAGATCAAAATCAAAAATGTTATTTCTGTTTTCAGATTAGCATAAGGCCCAAATTATATTTCAAAATAGAATTCCACAAACAGACATTGACACGTCCTGCAGTTTGTGCTGCAGCAATAAAAATATTCATGTGTATATTTTTTCAAATTTAATGTTCCAGGGTAAACATAGAAACATGTCAGTCTCTCAAAAATAGTACGGTAACCTGAGAGCTATTTCATACTTTTTGATCATCATGTGTTTTAAAAGTCTGATTCTATAAAATAGCATGGATTCCACAGCCCCATACAAACTTTGGCTGAATACTTAAAAGATAACTGTTATGTAATCAGTCAACCTAAGTGAACACACGAATACATGCCAAATGTACTGGGATGTAATCATGAGCCACTCCCTTTATTAGGAATGGCATTCACATTATAAATCAGTTAAAAACCTCCTGCTGTGTCTACAACACAGCTGTTGCCAAAAGTTGTGCATCCCCATCCAGGTGCTCATGTCTGAGTCACATAAAAGCATAGTGTGGGGAGGGGACATGGCAGGAGGAGGGAAAGGACAACAGCAAGACAGTCTTTCTTATATATGTAAAAGTCAAACTGATCTAGAGTAGGAAATCACCTGACTGAATTGTAGATAGCCAGAGGAGTTTGGTCCTTTTCTTTGGCCACTCTCATCATATCCAAAACAGCCATTCCAAGGCATTCTTCCTGGGTTTCATGAGTAACAGGCATCTTTATCCATCCATCTACAAAATCATCACGCCACTAAAGGAGAAAAGAGGGGAAAAACCCCAGATAGATTGTGATGCTGGTAAATTTTCTGTCTTAATGGGCATCTTTACACATGCTCCAGCTGCTCTTTACAAGCTGCTCTAATTAAAGGGGCTGCAGCATCTTGTGCATTCACCATTTCATGCTTCAAAATGGCAGTGGGGGCACTTTAACTAAAGCTCGTTCAACGACTGAGTCCACTCTGACACGCTATAATTACAGTGCATTGGAGCAGACATCCCCACACATCTACAGACACCCAATGTTATTTACTGAATATTCTAGGGAACAAATTTATCTATCCCTTGATATCTGTGCACCTTCACACTGACTCCCTGCCAGCTTTCACACTTGGTAGCACAACTCTTAAAAAGCCAGTTGCCAAAGTCCAACAAGGTCTCCTTAAGGACAGTGCTGCCCCACAGTAGGCATGTTCTTCTCACAAAATGAAACCCAATTTTTACTGAGGGGCTAGCAGTCTATTTGGTTTTCAGCCTCTCCTCCAGAAAGATACAACCTGGTCCCAAGTTTCATATACATAGTTAAGACTGGACTCTAAGCAATTAAATCAGATATGGGAGTTATTTTTGTAGGGCACAACTAAGACTGTGACAAGAGATAACATCAACAGTAAGTCATGATTTATTGACTGAAAGAAAATCCTACCTGAGCAAACAGGTAAGACATGACAAGGTCATCAAGAACAGGACTTTCTGAACCCCGGGTAATGCCATACCGATATGCTCTGCTACTGCCATTACTATACCAGTGAGGAAAATAAAACCTTTTGAGGAAAATGCACAAAGTATAGTTAGGCAAATATCAATAGAGTTAAAAAGGCATATCTGCTAACAAATGCCAAACATCCTTGAGACAGACACTCTTTATATATAAATGTGCGTGTGTGTGTACATCCGTGCATGCAACTTTTAATTGACTCGTGGTCTGATGCGAAGCCATTTAATTCAGCAGGAGTCTCAGAACTGGACTGGTGGTGTTTAGGGGGGCCATTCTAAAGTTAAATGAGAGATCAGTACTGTGGGTGCTAATCTCCAGGGATAGAAAGCTAGCAGCTTTGTACCGGTAATCCTCATACTCTAAAACAGAACAGCTTTTGTCACCTGCTAGTGACTCCTCCCAACTCAGAGAGCAATGATGATGGGTTTAAGAAGGAAAAATAACCTGTCTCAAAGGGAAGATTCTCTAGATGGAGGAAATTTGACAAGGGATCTCACAAGAGACTTCTGGCTCTTTATAAAAAAAAAAAAGAAAACCTCTTGAGAAGGCAAAATGGAAAATACATCTTGTGTAAGTATAACAATATGCAAGACAGACATGATAATTCTACACCTACGTGAAGAATTATTTAGTAATACCAAAGAAAGTAAGTGCTCTGTGAATTATAGCATTCAGTTTATTGTACTGTGGCTATTTTAAGTAATTTTGTAACAATGATGCCTAGCTGCCACAAATTTGGTAACAGCTCCAAAGATGACTGAGCCACATTTTTAGTTTACTAACTAGAGGTGCACCAATATGTTGGTGCCATATCAGATTGCCAATAAAATGAAAATTAACATGATTAGCTATTGGCTTTTTTTAGCTGGTGTAGTTGATAATGTCACCGATAAACATAATATGCCTTATGGCTAGGTCCCTTGGATGCTGCGTTCACGTGCACAACTGCATGCATGCATGTGGCCAGGAATGCAGCCGGGCACTGTGGAGAGCAGCACCCTGCAAGGAACTCTGTCAGGGAGGGAAGGGGCATGGGGTGGGCAGATCAAGGCCCCCACAGTGAGGGGGGGAGGCTGAGGGCGCTGCCCAGCCAGGGTGTTGAATGCGACTTGGGGCCAGGGCGGGGAGCAAGACAGAGTCATGGGCAGCTCATCTGGGGGCACGGGGCGGCTCCCTGCCTCTGCGTGCACCCCCAGGGGAGGCATGGGGGGGTATATGCCCCCCAAAGTTTGTGTATGGGGCGAGGGTAGATGCGGGCTGCCTGCTGTGAGTTTGGGGTTCTCCCCACTGCTGCCTTTGCCCTGAGAGCCACACACTGGCCGCATGTCCCCTGCATGCCCTGCAGCAGTGGGGGCAGCAAGTTGTGCATCCTGCTGCTGGGTGAGGAGGGGACATACAGCTAGCACATGGCTCCCGGGGAAAAGGCAGCAGGGGGGAGAGCCCCAATCCCACAGCAGGCAGCCCGTATCCACCCTCGCCCTGCTCGGCTCCACTCTGGTTAAAAGCACCCCTGGTGCTTAAAAATGGTGGTGGTGGCGTCTGAATTAAAGCTCATTTGATGAGTTTTAGTTCAAGTGCCCCCGCCACCATTTTTAAGTGCCGGGATGCTAATCCCCTGGATGAGCTGCCTACGGCTCCGTCCTGCCCCAGTCCCGTTCACCTCCCTGGCTGGGCAGCACCCCCAGCTGCAGCCCCTGTCCCTGCCCGACTCCCTCCCTCACTGTGGGGGCCTCGATCTCCCCCCACCCATCCCTTTCCCTGCCAGGACTTACCTGCAGGGAGCTGTTCCCCATGCTGCCTGGCTACATTCCTGTAAATTGATCATTGGATTGGTATCGGCCAATATGCCTGGTTAATAATCATTGATCAGCTACTGGTGTTGGCCAAGATCTTTTTCAGTGCACCCCTATTACTGACAACAATATATTGTCAAAACTATTGGACACATTGCAAAAGAAGAGCAGGTGTATTCTAATCCAATTAATCTATTTTGTTTGCAATATTCCATACAAATCAAAGCAGGCCACTTTATTTTCAGAAACTGTATCTGGTCGATCTGTCTACCTTGTGAGCCAAGGAAAGATAGTAGTGGAGATATTAGTGGAGAATTAAAAAAACAAAAGATTTTCAGAGTAATTTTGCTGACCATAGCCATATGTTAAGCTGCACACAGGGATTAAAAACAAGTTCCATTCTATGCACCTGTGTATTCTGGTAGTAATTATCTGGATTTATGCAATGGGGCAATTAAAAGATGCACATAAAAGAAATTCCAACAACATTACTTCAGCATAACAGCAGTGGCCAAACCCAACACTAAGAAAACATTTATGGCTTTCAGTTTGCAATCAGTTTATCAAAAGGGACATTCAGGCCACTTCATGCAACTCAGATAAATAAAAGCCCCTTCAAGCAGGGAAAAACTGTGGATGTCTTGCTTTAAGGTGGTCAGGGGGGGCGGGGGGGGGCTGTTGTTTCTTTTTCTTTTTTATAAAACAGATCATTTTGTTCAGTGGCAAGATAGCTACCATTCTGTTGTACATGCCCCCTAACTGTAAGGAACAACTTCATTAAACCTATATCCTATCAGGTTATCTTGCATTTTGCATATTTTTGCATTTCAGATCTCTTATAATTACAATTAGCACCATAATGCAAGAAAAGGAACAAGAAAAAGAACAACAAAGATTAAAATCCAACTATGACTATTGCCAGTGAACAGAAATAGTAATACTAACTCCCCCTACTTGAAAGCACCTTTTCGGGGTTTTTTTAGCTTGATCAGGTAGAGTCTACAGTACATAGGAAACAAGCTATACAGAGAACTGAATGTTCAAAGCACTCAGCCTCACTTATTTCATATGGTTACTATTCCAAGTAAATCTTATTTGAGGACCTGCTGTTAACAGCGCATGTAGAAATTACAATTCCGTTATATTATTTTTGGCATTTTGTTTTATTAGCTTTTTGCACTGACATGAAAAGTAAGCCATGGTTCATTTTTGGGTGCATTATCAGAGTTATACTACCTTATCCGGTAAAGCAGAATGAACCTGGTCGACTCGTCTACATGGAAGATGTGATTCGGAGGAAACCAAATTCTGTCTGTCTTGCTCATCAGTGCAAACATATTATGGTACACAGGCATGATACCTAGGTAAAGGAACAGGAAAATTAGTGATACTGAAAAGTCAATTATTACTCAGAATCTTTTACTTTTTACTTTAAAAAAAATCTGTCGGTCAAATGTAGTGAACTGATAGCACTTAATAATCTCATTTTCCAGTTACCCACATCACTGGCATAGCTCAGTCAGCTGGAATCAACCTTGCTCATGCTGCAGATTGCTTTCAGTCTCAGTGTCATCTCATTATTTCCTTGTGCTCCCTGGCTGACTGTTGTATCCACCTGTTGTCTCCCATCTTGTGCCTGGATTACACATTTGTAAGGCAAGGGCACAATGCTCATAAGTACAACCTAGCTTCTAGGTATTACCACAATATGAACTAACAACAACAACTTATCATTAATGTTGTTGTTACATTTTCCTCGTTTTTCCTGAAAAATGAAAGGCCACATGCATTTGTTTTAAATTGTTGGTTTAAAGAAAAATTAAAAACAAAGCAACATAAAGAAAATCTAACACGATAACTAAAGTTCCCACCTCCTTCCATATCCCTATCACATAATTTTGGTAGCTCTATTAAACATAAGGAAAAAATATGGATAATCAGTTAGTTAAACCACAGGTATTGCGACCTGTTTTCATAGACAGCCAACAAAATAAGGTTTTACAATCAGGTTTCCCTCCTCTTCTGTTGCCATAACACACAGAAAACTAAGGCACCGATTTAGCCAAGAACTTTAAACATGTGTTTCAAATTAAGAATGTGATCAGTCCCTCTGGAGAGTCTTTAGGGACACTGCACCAGCTCCAGTTAGATCAGGTGTGAGCAAAATGAGGCTTGTGGGCTGTATGCAGCCCACCAGGCCATTCTATCCAGCCCCTAAAAAATTTAGAAAATTAATATTTATCTGCCCCTGGCTGCCTGTCATATGGCCCTCGATGGCTTGCCAAAACTCAGTAAGCGGCCCTCCGCCTAAAATAATTGCCCGCCCCTGTGTTAGATGTATGCCTAAAGCCCCAATCTAGCACCATGCTACACCAACATCAAAGAGATTTCTGTTCTTGCTCAGAGTCCCATTTACTTGGGACCACAGTTCCCAAGAATACAGTTGTGGAACCTGTCTCCATCTGTCTGTCTGTCTAGTTTTTATTTATTTGTTTATTTTTAAACCCCTCTCAAACCCTCAACATTCTCAATATAAAACTAGAACTCAAACATACACTGATGAAGCATTCTTCATGGAAATTTTCAGATTCAGAAAATCTGATTTTGCTGAAGTTCTAATGGAAACCAGACAAGTTCCCTCCCTGATTTTCTGCCAACCTACCTGCCCAGCTTTTCTGTAGTTTGCTTGGTAGGTGGCTGGGGGCTTCTTCTTTCAGTGGTTCTCTTTTATGCACACTTTAGAAAATGTAGTTACTTCAAATAAGAGTGAAACCAAAATTCTGGAATATCAAAATCCTCCAGAGTGGAGCTGCCTTTTTCCATCTTGCTCTACTTAAACCTACTTTCCGACGGAAAGGAGGGAAACCTAAAAAGGATCAAGGATCTAACATTTGTTCTCTTTCTCCCGCTTTCTATTTTGGAGCTCGCTCATTCAAAATAAAGAGATCATACACAAAAAGCCAGGATTTATCAAGCAGATGGGAAAACAGAAGTTAATAGACTAGAAGAAATACAGTGAGGGATTATAATTGAGCATGGACTTCACACAGAAGCATTAGACAGTATCAATGGCTTCTGAAAATCTTAACCAAGAAAAAAAAGATCAAATCACTTTGTATTTTATCCATGCAATTAGCACATCAATTAGATAATGTTCCCAGGCTTCTCTATTAGGTTATGTGCTGCCATAACAAAAATGATGATGCAAGCTGAAGAGGAAGGAAGGAAAGGGCTTTTCTTTTTGCAGTGCCTCTTCTGGCCCTCCACAGAAATGGCAATAATACTGGCCATCTGTTCATTCCCCACACCAGAGGCAGAAATATAATTATCATGCCAGAGGATAAATGGGTCAGCCACTTGCTCCCCCTTTGTCTTTGTAGGCAAGTATAAGACAAGGGGCTTTTTCCCTTCATGATGATTCGGGAAAAAACCTTGCCTTATATTCAAGTAAATACAGTATTATCTGGAATACGACAACCAATTTTATGTCAGTTTGCACAAAACTGTTTTCTTTACTGTTCTGCTTGTGGATATGAACCAAATAAGGAAGAGTCTAAACTTAAAATGTTAATTTAATTACTTAAAAAAATAAAAGTGAAAAATCAACAGCGAGTGAGATTATGTATATAATCTGCTTTTGTTTTAAAGAGAAACATGATTAATTTGAGTGGAGTTTTATGAAGAAATGGTTTATATGAATATGTCCAATTCAAAATATGACAATGGAGTTGAACATGATTGGCTATGCCCTATTATCTTTCCATATGAAGATTTTTCCCTTTAACTTTGGATGCCTGCAATGGAAATGAGGGGACAAAAACACAGCTGATGATTGCATCAAGGACATCTTTGTGCTCTGCCACATTCTTTCCTCTGGCCATTTCTTTTTTTTTCTAGCAGTAGGGAGAGAAAATGGCACAAGACCCTTAAAACTCTAGGTCTGCACTTGTGCACAATACCTTATGCACTGGGGTGATCCTCCATGAGCCACCTGTGCTGACCTGTGGGCTAAGTTATTTATTGAGCACATTTTCCACCATGTCAGAAGATTTGGCCTAGGCTGTTTCCACAGCCTGTCAAGGGAAAGTGCATAAGTACATGATACAGAAGGCAAGATATGCAGCAGCAACTAAACCACACAACAGATACATTTGAACTGAGGTATCAGTAGAGTCATCAACAGAGTATATGACAATTATACAAAATCCAGAGATTAAAAAAATGGAACTCAGAGATCTTGATTCAAAATTTCCACCCTCCCTAAATAACAACAGTAAAGATTAGAAGCAGAACAGTCAGTAGTCAGCACCATTAACTCTGTAAGAGATAAATAATATTCAATGGCATTTCTCTTTCTTTATTCCAAGACTGCAATTTCATTTTTAAACACACATTTTCTAACAAATGTAAAAGCACATATTTGTAATACAGACAGCATAACACAATGGTTCTCAACCTTTTTTAGGCTTCAGGCACCCCTACATAACGTCTGTGAATTGAGCAACACCCCATTTCAAGACTTTTTTTGTTTTTTTGGGTTTTTTTACAGTACTTAACTCATATAGGACCAAGAGATGTGGGGGACGGGAGAGGGCAGGAGGAATAGCAGGGCAGGGACAAGCCTGTGTTGACTTTCTGGTGAGCAGGAGGAGTAGCAGGGCAGGTTTAAGTAAGTGCTTACCTCCTCACACCCCACAACACCTTTCAAAGGCTCTCACAGCACCCAGTTGAGAATCACTAGCATAAGGCCATGGACAAACCTGCACTTGAAATTCTCCAAATCCTGCTCCAATCTTGAGTGCTTTAAATTCTGAATGCTTTGGTGCAGCAAAAGGTGTGCAGCCCCAATTATGCCCCCTCACTTCAAAAATCACCATGATGGCATGTAGTAGCAGCACTGTTCAACCAAAAGGCACAAGAGAGAGTTGCTCAGTCTTCTGGCATCCCCTGGTGCTCATCTGTACTTCCATTTCCTTGGCAGGGGAGTGCAAGACAGCAGGATGGACAACAAATGAGCACTCTCTTATGCCCCTTGCTGTTTTGGGGGACCTCTAAAAAGGCATGCAAGGAACCCTTCCCTCTAACCCCCCTTAAAACAAGCAATTTAAACTTTCTCTAATACTGGGGGGCTTGGTGACATCAAACTGCAGATATCTCTCTCCTTTATACCACTACTTAAGGCAGCTGCTCCATCAGTGACTCTCCAGAACAACTCTTAAAGATCTGTTCAGCCGGGGTACCCTCCCAACCCGCCAGGTCAGCAGCAGGAAAGTATGCAGTTGAATCTCTTCTCCCTCAGGTCTGCTTGGAGTTGACAAGAAATGATTCATAATTGTAGCTGCAACCTGCCAGCACAAGACTCTGCAGAAACAGCTCTTTTGATTTCAGGTGCCAGAGTGCAGGCTGAGATATTAATCACCGAACTTCTCATCTGTACTGCAGAATGGGAAGCCTGGCTCCAAGAGGGATGGAGTGGGCCTCTTGAAATAGGAGTAGGCATTTGTCTGGAGGTCAAGAAAGAACGGAGCTGGATGAAAGCTAAAACCCCATCACAATTGAGTATACTGAGAAAGGACGTTGGGTGGTTTAAATAAAGAGAAAAAACATTAAATGGTGAAAGCAAATGAGGCTTGTAAAATTGAATGGGAAATACAAGAGCCAACAAAAACAAACCTGGCACGTGTTAAAAAACTACAGAAAATAGACAAGGGCCAATATGCAGGATCCATAAAACAGGCAAGAGTTACCATACTTATTCTCATGCAACATGGACTGTTCCCTCCTCCCCCACAAGTTAGTGTGTCTTAAGAATTTTTCTGCCTGATATAGAAGAATGGAAACTGTAAAAATGAACGATTCTTCTTTTCCTTCTTTCTCCCATCCCGAAGCCTGTCTCATGGAGAAGGGACAGAGTTCAGTCTTCAGCAGCAGCTAGTGTTAACACTTTCACAGCCCCTGTGACATTGGCTTTAGCTTTCGGCTGACCAGCTAAGATCTGATGCCATTTACACAGCATCGCTGAGAGGGTTAAAAGTATAGCTTTTGCCTGAGCAGAAAATGGTGGATGAGGTGCTGAAGATTTGGCTATGTTCCCACTCTATTCAGCCACAGTTCTGGAAAAATCTCTTTTTCTTCATTCCAATTTCCAAAAATCAACATGTGCATCTTATTTGAGGGCATGTGGCATGCCAGAAAATATGGTAGGAGAAAACTAATACAAGGTTTACACCCAAAAGAGAAAATAGGAGGAAGAAAAATCTGATGTGGTATCTCTTCTTGCTCTGAACAGCATCTAATTAGAGAAACTTTTCAGGGCAGGGAGCCTGTCTTTTCTCATATACCATGAACATCTATGGTGCT